CACCTTACGTACACCTCCAGAGAAGTCAATTAATGTATGTAGTAGTCTGGATCAAATAAGTTAGACGAGCAGTGTGGAAAAAAAGCAATGAATCCAAAAGATGTAACTACAGCATAAGCAGCAGGTTGACTGGGAATTTAGTAACACAGGAAAATATACTGAAAATACAGAGCTTGGGAGGTGATCAAACTGCAAATCCTGAACAACACAAAGACTAGAAGATGCATCAGACACACCACAGTGATCAGCATCAGCAAGCCACAGTTCCAAGATGGAAACACCCAAGGTAAAATTACTGGATGCAAAAATGTAACAGAAAATTTAAAAATTAATCAAAAACACCTTGGCTACTGTATTCTGGAAGAAATCATAGGGAATAACTCAGTATTGAGAGAGCACCAAGCAGCTCCTTATCTGAACTGTGATAACAGAAATTAAGTATATTAAAATGGCTGGGGGTCTACATCAGAAATTATTCACAGTTGCACCAGGCTCTACACTGAGATCCTGGTTAGGCTAATCATCTCCTTGGAGACAAAGCCAGGCTTCATAAAGGAGAAACCTTGAAGAGTTGTATCACAGTAGCTTGTTTCCCTCACCCAGCCCCCTTCTATCCCAAAAGGAAACAGAAACCAAAATTACAATTAGAAGAAAAAAGATGGAGGCTTCTAGACAAAATCCTTCCAGACCATTTTTATGTAATTACAGAATGAACAGATGAAAGTTATGATTTCCATAAATCCTTTGACATATTATCTTAAAATTGAAGAGATGATATGTCCCAGGTATATGTACAATTACCCATAGAAAGTCAGTCAGCTGAAAGTTATTGTGAAGCCAGAGGTTAGAATTTGGCCCTGTTTTTTAATGTATCTCTTAATCATCTGGAAGAAGCACAGACAATATATTAGATTAGTGCCCTGGGCCTAGAGAAAAGATAGCATGAAGTGTGCCTACAAAGGATCAAGAGGATGCTGATGATTGTCAACATTCCAATTTAAAACAGAAAAGTCCACAGAATAAAATTGCATAACAATGGGTTAGAGTGTATATCACATAGTGTATGACACATATTAGGTCTTCAAGCAGAAATACAACACTCCCAGTTTACCTATCCTTATATATATGCTTGCAGTACTATGCCGTTCAGAACAAGAGATTCAAAAACTCGAGACTCTAAAGATAATAAAGGAATTTGAAGAAATGGTGTAAGATAAGATGATGGGCTTGAAAAGAGAGGTGAGGAAATGATGTAAATGCTATCTCCAATAATGAAGGATGTCTAGAGTAAGAAGAAAGCCGGTGATTTACCTGTAAGCAACAGTACGACTGTTCACAGAGAGAACAATTGGCCTTGACAAAGGCAACAGATGACGAGTTAGACTAAAGGAATAAACTGCTGAATGCAGTTTGAGAAGCTTCAAGCGTGGAACAATCATACACCCATCCATTTTACCCTGAAGTCACTGCAAAGAAAATTGAGCATGTCCAATATGATTTAATAAGTCTGTGATAATGTATCTGCTGGTAATCGAGTCTGAATCTTCCTTGAGTTTTATGTCCTTTAAAAATTTCTTCATGTTTTTGTTTCTCAGGTTTCGGAATTCAAGAAGCAAATCAACATATCGGCCAAATCCCTTCTCATCCCTTCCCCTACCCCAAACAGAAGCAGCAATCTTTGAAAATGAGGGAGTATATGAAGTTACAATCTTCTGTGGTCATTCAGACTAGATATAAGGAAGAGATTTTTCACAACGAGGGTGGTGAAACACTGTCCCAGGTTGCCCAGAGAGGTGGTAGACGCCCCATCCCTGGAACTATTAAAGGTCAGGTTGGACGGGGCTCTGAGCAACCTGATCTAGTTGGAGATGTCCCTGCTCATTGCAGGGGGGCTGGACTAGATGGCCTTTAAAAGTCCCTTCCAACCCAAACTTTACCATGATTCTAGAAACACAAAACAAACCAAACTCACAACAGTCATTGGGCATGTGAGATGAATACAATACGAAAGGTAAAGACAGATTTGGCCACAGTTTCATCTGGAATAGCCCAGGGGAAGCTCCACAGCCAGCCTGATGGTGTTCGCTCAAATGGAAAAAACCAGGACATTCTCCTCCTGAGTCACCAAATCTCCAGGGGATTACATTGGATTCAGCAGATACCACAGCCATGGAAGAACACCTTCTGTTGTGCTTCCGTACTGTTTTGCAGGCTCTCTGGTATCTTCTGAATAACACTGAGCAACAACAGACAGACTACCAATGTCTGTGCCTGCCCTGGAATCTCTCCATACTATAGGATTCGACAGCATAAAGGGAGTATTAACTTCTACTTTGATTTTGCAATTAATTGTGGATGGAAGGACTAATCAGCACTTCTCCTCTCACCACCTTTTGTTGTTCAGAAAAGTTGTAAGAGGCTGTTACAAAAACTGGTGTTGAAATCTGCAGCAATCTAGTACAGATTTGCTGGTCTATAATGCGTAAACAAAGATGCTGCGCTCCAGCAGCAAGTTCCAATAACTATTCATCCACCTTTTTTACAATGTCTATGCTGAATGCACTAACAGAGATGCATAGGAGAAGTTTTCATCCTCGTGTGTTGAGGTTTATTACTCATGGCATTAATCTTTTCTCACATACTATTTGAAGTCACAAACATAAATTCATAGTATTCCATGCAGTGATACAAGAGGAATCTAGTAATAGCACGAATACTCATACTTCCTAAAATTAGTCCTTCAGTGGTGGATTCTAATTAGAGATGAAATGTGAAATGTTCATTTGGTTGCATTTCTAAAATACTTGGGTTTTCATGGAAACCTGCATCTGAACCAAATTCAGCAGTTCAGACCCAGTTTTGTTTCTTGTACACGAAAATAATTATATTTGCCCCCCTTTCATAGGTAAAATATTCAGGTCCATTAAATATGAATCTGTTTTCTTGCTGCTGGTCAAACAGCAAGAACAGCTGTCAGGTCCCTTCCTCCTCCCCAGAGCAGTCTATGCAGTGCAGGACAACGTTCTCCGGTCACTACTCTTTTCTGATCCTCTCCTATTTGATTCCCTATCTACGGCTTAAGGGACTGCAAACCTGATTATCAGATCAGAGTATATCTGGATACCAGAGCAGAACTGTCATAGACTATGAACCATGCTGGCCTGGTCTATTAAGCAAAAGGCTCAGTACAAAAAACCATACATAATGACATAATGTAAGGTTGTTCCCAGTATGCTCTGTGTTAATCCTGTAGGCTGGTGGATTTCTGCAGCAGTTACGGGAATTAGTTTACTCCGCTTACTGGGTTGGATTGGTACGCTAGTTCGTGCTTTCAAATTCTAGTCCATGGTTAGCAATTTGCCACTAGACTTTGCCTATTCTGTTACATGGCTGAAAGATCTACTGCATGAGTAAGTATATAGAAAATATCACAAGCGAAATACTATACAAAAATATACCTCAGGTAGCGGTAACACTCGGACACCTATGTACCTTAAATTTCCACTGATGAGAGTTAGAGGAAAGACTTCAGGTAAACACAGATCTAGTCTCATAAAATTACCTACATGGTTTCTTAGTTAATACCTTTGACTGTTTAAAGGGAAACTGATTTTTCAAAAATAAACTAGGCAAATTAAATAAAAGCTTGCAACTTTTTTTGCAACTGAAAAATCAGCGACTGAAAGAAAAAGATTTTACAGAATCTTCATGAACTTTGCAATGGTAAAATGTGATCTGTGATACCATAACATCACAATTAACTCGATCATTATGTGTTTGCCTTCATTCATGTTTCTCTCAAATTAAAAAGAAAAAAATAAATTAATGAATGGATGATATCTGAGCCATGACAATATAATCCTCCAACTTAAGAGACTATAAACTATAACCTATAAAACTAACTCTTTCATGCTATCAACTTGTGATGGATTTTTGTTGTTCCAGCAAAAATGGAACAAAATGTTCTTCAGTCCGCAGGCACACTATGGTAGCATAGAAGTTCTGAACAAACATGAGAAATTCCACTACTAGAGCTGTATGAAACTTATGTTTCCCCTTCAATAATAATCACTTCATCTTCCTCAGATTTAGATTTTTTTTTTTCAATTCTGATTTTGATTTTTTCCTCTTGGAGTATCATGCTGAATTACAAATTCAAAAAGCTTTCCATGCCAAAAAAAAAAAGAAAGAAAAAAAAAAAGATAATTTAACTTTATTTAACTTTCCAATTTTGCATATGTGTGAAAGTTTATACATTTCGCACTGAGTACATTTTAGCATTCATCCCAGATTTGCCACTGTGTGAAACTCATCCAAAATGGTCACAAGTGAAAAATGACAAGTGCTTTATGGTAAGTGCTCCATTTTCATTAAGCATAATGGATACTTTTTTCAAAAGTGCGTATCTTGGCAAATGTATTTTCTGCCTCAACTATCCATCCCCGGGGGACCATTTTAGATTCAAAATTAAGTGCACAGCAAGTTGATCCTTTATTTCTGAGCAGTTTCTCATTTAGTCAACACTATCCTGGGCCATTATATGTTGAAATTATGCAAACTTTTCAAGCTTTAAACACTTCCGTAGAAAATATTTCTTATCCAGGTCATCTGAAAGATTTATGAAGGTAGGTTAAATTTAGATTTTATTTCCAATGTTCCATACAGCTCTTACTAGAATATCAGCTATAGCCATCATTTTGGATTTGTTCCTTTGGAAACAGATTAGACATATTTAACTCTACCTCCTGACTGAGAAAACATCTCACGGTAAAGCTTAACTGAGCGCATGCTTTAGAAAAAGGTTAATCAGTTTTCCAGGCTACAGGGCAGCATTCATTGCTGAGGTGGCTAAATACACTGCTCTGCAGAGCTAAGGCAAGATCATCATAATCCCACCCCATTCATTTTCTACAAAAATTACATTTTAAAGCGCGCTCTGACAGAAGTGAAAGTCTGCCTTCCTGGGGCAATACTGAAAATATACCCCTGTTTCAGTTTACCTTACTGACATCCATTCGCAACTTCTCATTGTTAGCGCTGGCAGCTTTTTCTGCTGCTTTCTTTTGACGCTGAGGTCCTCTGCCAAAGAAGATGTAGTTGACCAAAGCATACTCCAGCAGAGCCATGAAAACGAAGACAAAACACCCCATAAGATACATGTCAATGGCTTTCACATATGGGATTTTGGGAAGAGTCTCTCGAAGATGGGTGTTAATTGTTGTCATTGTGAGCACAGTTGTGATTCCTGGAAAAAAGAATTGACAAGTCTGTTCACTGAATTAATTTTAATTTTCTATCATAATAGGTCATAATATTCAAATGCTAGAGCTGAAAAATCATAGGAGATTTTTTTTTCCTGGTAGATAAAAAAACACCCCCAACCTCCTTCTGTATTCCTTGTATTTGTCTTTAATTTTTTTGTACAGCAAAGAAGATTACACCTGTAATAAATTGCATTCAATCAAACAAACAGTAGTCGGATTCTGTGAGTATGTTTTTAACCAGCTAAGCTGTAACTTTCTCTAGTGAGTCTCAGTTGTAAATTACCAGCCTAGAGTCCAGCACTTTCAGGATATCTGTAGCCTTGAATTCTTATGGGAAAATGTTACACAGAAAGGTGTGATAAAACTCAGAGAGTACACTACGAAGCTAAAATGTCAAGTTCTCAATTGTATCTTTTATGATGATTTACTTATTTTATCTATATGAGGGCTGTACTGGCAGGAATCGGTCTGATTGATATGAAATTTGGCAATAGATACTCATATTTATTTTTGTAACATGCTTGGATCCTCTGACAAAGGGCACAGTATAAACAAACACACATGGGATTAGTGATGATATATAAAAGTACTCTAGAGATTAATTAGGGAAATGGTTTCGCTCTTAGATTGTAAGGAAAAAAGCCCTCAACTTAAGGAGCAGTTAGCTGTACAACCCCAGTAAAACTTTATTTAATTCATACCTGAAAGGAAAAGCAATTTAAAACCCATAACACAGTGCTGAATGTGTATTCTGGACTGCCATGAGCAAAAGCAAATTAAATGCATTCTCTTTGGAGAAAAACAAGCACTAAAACAACAACAGGAAATGTTGAGACAATTAGGCTAATTCTGGTTACAATGATTATACAGTTAGCTAATTCAGACATGAAATCACTTTAATTTTTATTTAAATTGTGATGATTTAAATGCCGATTCAAATAATACAAAGTTTAACGAGCCAGACATAAAAAGATGTAACAGATTTATTTTTCAAATCATGTACTATCCACTAAGCCAGAAGCAAGAAAAAGCATTCAACTAATGCACACTGCATGAGATGTGTAAAAATGCCTACCTAAAGCAACTCTTGCAGCTGAAGCATCATAATTAATCCAGAAGGAAACCCAGGACAGGATAGTGATCAGAATAGAAGGCATGTAGGTCTGCAGAATGAAGTAGCCAATGTTTCTCTTAAGTTTAAAGCTGAGAGACAGCCTTGGGTAGGCACCTAAAAGAAAATATTTGGTATGGCCATAATTTACTTGTATAAAGCCTGAAGACGTTTTTCTGTCATTTTGGTTTTATTGTTTCATGCAACATAGATTACATACACAGTTGAAAGATCCAGGATAATCAGCTGCAGAATTTCTATCACGAACCGGGATTAAATAATCTTTTATTCTAAGGATACAAGGATGCTCTAGGTGCATATCTGCTGGCAATCATAATATGCACCTATCAACAGCCAAAATACGTTTCAGAGCATCAAACATAGAAAAGCTTTTTCTCCGACAAGCTGCAGTATGCTTACTTCGGTGTAACCCTTATTCTAACCTCTCTAAGCAGTGCCACACACGCCCTTTGTCACTGGACACCAGAAACATTTTGGTGTATGAAACACTTATCGAAATAGGTCCAGAGATCACAGCTGCTGCTTTAATTTATTCCTGTTTCTAAAATTTTTCTCAGATCCTGAACTGCTCGTTGAGAATTAACCCGTTTCTAAAAGTCTTCCCAGTGAAATCCCCTTTTGGCATCCCCTCCACAAACCTGTAGAGAAAACAACATTCTTGGTGATAAGCTTGTAGTCTACAATGGAGAACTGTGGCAGTTCGATCTTTGTCACTCCTGTGACCGCATTATCACCCCCACGCCAGTAAAATTCTATGTCATCTGTTGTATAGCCATCTATAAAAATAGGAGGAAACAGTTAAGATACAGCTATCTTCTGACATCATGGAGAACAGTCCAGAGAATTAATTCAGAAAACAACTTCAAATATACTTCTAAAACAAAACCGTTAATAACATAACAGATATGAACCTACAGATAGACACAGGTAATACTGAATATCATTTCAACTGGCAACCCTAGCTGTATTTTAATCTTTGCGTTTTTTTATAAAAAGATGTATTATATCAAGATATTAATAAAACAAACCTTTAAAAACAAATTGAGACTACACACATCCCGTATATAGATAGTAACTGTGCTTAGTTACTACACTAACTAAGTACTACTACAGTACTAAGTAACTCAGCATAAGGTATCTTCTGACCCTAAGGCTGGATAAAAAAAGTGTGGGTTTGCTGTAATTTCAGCCCCTAGGCTTAAACATCACCATCAGTAACGAAAACATGACCAGGTCAGCAAGCGAGGCCTGGAAGAGATGCTTCTGTGTCTCGCACCATGATCAGCGTAAGGAAGAGGACAGGAAGAGTAACACAGGTAAGAGAGAAGTTCATCGTACAGTTATCTCATGATATTATGCTATGTAGTTTATAATCTGACTACGGATGAAAAGGAGAAGCTCTAGTTCAAACCCATTTAGATTTTACTCGCAAAAGCAGCATCATTCTTTTTCTGCAAATGGCTTGAATGCAGTAAAAGACAGCCCCATTCAGTGAAGCCCTTGTAAGGAGCAGCTGTAGCAGATGCAACAGCCACCACTTCGGATGGCAAAAAAACTACCCTCCAAAAAAAAAAACCCACAGAAAAAAAAAAATCCCACCACCCACAAAAAAAACCCCAGAAGACAGCAGCTGTTCACACCATCATGAAACATATGCATGGAATATAAATCTGGGTTCACCAAATGGCAGCTGAGCTAACTTGCGTTCTTCGGAGTTGGAATATAGAACTGATCAGTAGATACCAGAAATAAATCTGCTACAAATCCAGGAAATAAGATATTCAGTAAGCTTTTTAGCCTTCTAAAGGTTTTTGTTGTTGGAAATTTAAAATAAAAAGAACAACTCAGAGATAGAATAATGACTATGACTTTTTGGGAAACTGATGTAATAAAGGTATATATATTTGACCTTAATTTTAAGTTCTCACCTACAGACAAAGGACAAAATTATATAATAACCACCATTTTAGAGTGCTCAAATAGCACTGAATTTCAAGGAATAATGCAGATTATGCATTTTCTGATAAAACAGGAACTATAAAACTGTTTCTACACATAAGTAATTTTTGATAATCCAGTCTTTGCATTTATTGTATATTACTTGTTCAGAGTCTAAAACATGAGAGGTCTGAAAAGGAGACAAGATACTGCTATCTGTCGGTAGAAGGCCTATCCTCTGTAATAAAACAAGCATTAACTGTGACTCCACAGTCATACTGATGCTTCTTACACACTTTGTGATACAACGAAGTATGGTCAAACCTGCATTTTTAATCATCAGAACTCATTAGCTTTGAAGCCTCATAAAGATCAACATGTGATTGAACTTTGTTTTTTCCTTACGGCAACTTTGCATATGAAAATTTTTAGCACTCCACACAGAATTGTCTCAGATGAAATTTACAGCGCAAAATTGTTGCATGTTGACGAAGAGATGCTGTATTCAGAGATAAGAATAGCTTCAGCACAATGATTTCCAGTGGCTAAGCAAGGCATCCTTAGTTCAGCCTGTTGTTAGAACTGATTTTGAATTGTTCTACAGTATCAGTGAAATTATTTCAGAAGACTCAAATTACAGACTTACACAGGAGACTGGAATTGTTTTGTTTTCATGAGGAAATAATGTATTTTGCTGCTTGATTATGATTTTCTGAGACTGCCTAATTATATGAGAGCCTCCCTCCCTATGTCTCATTTCTCCCATTAACCTTGTTCTATTTCCTCCACAATATAAAGATAGCAAAAGGTACACAACGGAAGAGCACAATACATTAAAAGTTTCTTTCCCTCCAAAATGACCTGAAATACTGAGACACTTCTTTCTAAGTAGTCAATATTGTAAGAAATGAGGAATACTTGTACTTAGCCACATAACTGAGATTACGATAGTTTCTGAACTAACAGACTTGAGCTGTGAAATACAACTTGAAAACCTTTGACAATATACCGTAATCTTTAATTTAGCTTTTTTATGTCTATTACTTGTGGTAAAAGTTTATATCAAGTTCTGGTACCTGACACTGTTAATGCAATGCCTTGGGTAACTCCTCTCTCCTGGGTTGTGGGTATGAGTGTCTCATCCTGCCCGGCCCCATCCTCTGCTTCTCCAGTGAATACCTGTAAAAGCTGTGTTCCAGCAAGTGGACTTTGTTTTTGCAAACTGTTAGCTACTGCCTGAATCTGCTAATAACAAAAGCTGCTGTCATGTTCCTAAATACTGCACGGAAAGAAGGCTCTCTGCCCTTTCTGTGAGGTGCTTAGGACCATTACACCTAACGGAGTGCCTTCTCCCCGTGGTGAAGCTGTGTTTGACAGGTAGGGAAATGACTGTTAGCATTGGGGCACTGGCCTTTAACAGGTTGTTTCTACTCTCTGCAGGATACTGGATTTTAACCACCACTAGACCTGCTTCCTTTGCTTTAAAAGGTACTTTTCCAGGAAGATCAATGGTACATGGATGGAGGTCATTAACGATCGTGTTCATAGCAAGACAGGGCCACTTCAATAAGATGTTTAAAGGGAACACATTTGTTTCAGTATTTACGTGAAGCATAAACCCTTCATACGGTGCCGTAAATTCTTTGGTAGTTTTTCCAAGGGTTACATGGTAGTGGAATATGTGCAGATTCCACAGACCTGAAATTCATCGGGTTGTTGTTTTACTTTTCTGGTCACAAGTCTATCTTCAGAAAAAAGGCAGACAGCTTACTTATGTTTCCTTGTCTACCACCACTTTATGTTTGTCAAGTCCCACTCTAGGCTTCCAGAGAGAAAAATAAATTAAAATCTAAAATTAAATAAATCTAAATTAATAAATTGGCTCTGATCTTGAGATTTAAAAGCAAGTATATGTTATGGAAAATATAAAAGAACATCCTTAGATAGTTTAGAAAGAATAACATTACATACCTTTTGTGAGAATTCTTACTTTGTGATGCTGCTGAGTTTTACTGATGTACTATCTCAAATTTACTCTGCCCACCAACAGCAAGTTCCAGATTCTAATACTACTTACTGAACTCGGCAGGATTAATCAAGGTAATTTACTTAATTTTGAGGTAAATTTTAAAACTAATTTTGAGGTTAAACTTCATAACTAATAAATCAACCTTTTATTTTTCTTTCTGACCAAATAAATGTTAAATAAGTTACAGCAAGAAGAAAACCCACTGTTTTTTGTAAGCAAAAATATGTCTATAAAAAGCCCAAATAGCTCTTTATTTTATTTTTTTGAACATCTGTTAGTAGAACTTTTCTGCCCAACTGCCTATACACAATTTGGCCTTGAACCGTCTAATGATACCAGGATTCACGCAGGAAAGAACTCCAGGTTTTATGTTCCAGCAGACTGACAAATGCATCAGCATTTCCCCCTCTACCAGGAAGATGTGGTTAAACTTCTCCCTCTATTCTCACAGCCTTAACACGAAGCAAATATCAACAGCTACTCCTGGAGGAGAGCTGAACTCTCACGCCGAAGTTCGAACTGAAGATTCCCAATCTGCAGCTTTGGGGAGGCTGTGCAGAACTCCCTGCCGCTTCAGGTACTCACGCTGCGGAAACGCTAAGCTGAGACTTTGACACTGACTTCTTAGCAGGTCTCTTTAAGAAGAATTTCAGGAAGTCTCTTCAAGCTTTCATTAAAATACTTCTCTCTCTTTCCAAGAAGGATAAATTATCCCATTCATTTCATAACATGGAGAAGGAGAGAAAAGAACATTATAGTCATCTGTAAGTGAATGCTATTGTGTACTGCTAAAGTACCCAAATATAATTGGATATAAGTCTAATATCCACAAAACGTCTGCCAGAAAAGAGAATGGGCCTATTCATGTCTCTAGTGAATGTTTTACAGATATTAAAGTCCGATTACCTGTAGCTATAATAAACTCCATCTGCAGGTATTTGGGACTCAGAACAACTCTCCTTACAAGTTAAAATTATTTAAAGGTGGACCAATTTAAAATAGTAATAAGCAGTCTAGAAAGGATAATCTGTGTCTCTTGACAAGAAAAAGGCAGAATTAATGAATGTCAGCTCAATATTTCTAAATGATCAGATCACCTCTGTAATGTAGAAAATAAAGCATACTGAAACCAAAAAGCTGCAAGCAATTTTTGCAAGAATCTGAATCAAACACTATTTGATTGAGATTGTAAAAGAACTGTTGTTTTAACTATGTATTAAATTGTATGTGGCACTCTTAACAGAACAGAGAATCTGATTGAGTGCTTTTTCCTAAATCGTTTATATATCAGCAGCAGCACGATTTACTTCACATTCAGAAAGTTCAATTTCTCATTTCTGTCATGCATCACACATCAGCAGTCAAGCAAATCAATACATTGTCCTGGTAATACGGCACCAATCCCAAGGGAAGCAGAGCATTCTCAACTCCCATTAACATGGACAGGGAGTTTATCATTGCCTGTACTTCAAGAAATGACAGATGATGAAGCACTGCAGAAGAAAAATAAACAACTAGTAGAACATAAAATAAAAACCTCTTCATACAGAAACTACAGAAATGCCTACTGTTTTCCAGTCTATTTAAGAGAAGTAAAAATTCAGAAATTCTTTAAATACAAACAACATAAAATGAAAGACGTAGCATTATTGGCTGAGCACGAGAGTATTTAGGAACAAAACAGTTATCAGAAACACCACAGAATGGAAAAAAAAGAAGCCAACTTTTGTAAAAATCTCAGGGTTTATCAGTAGGATTCACTGCCTCGCAATGCTTTTGTTTGTATACGACAGCTGGGCTATATTTTAG